GGGAGGATCCAACCAGAAGGCTCTTCCGTCATCCTCCTCCTGATCGAGACTTCAGGTTCGAGGCGTGATCCATTTTGACGCTTCCTGGCTTTTCTGAGCCCCCTCGTCGCCACGGCTGGATCCGCCCTCGAGATTCTGGCCGGAGCGCCCACCTAGGGCACGGGGGTCGACCTTCGCCCCTTGGGCCCAGAGCCTCCAGCCTCCATAGGTGGCGACATCCGAACCCTACCTTGGCGGCGCGCACAGTAAGGTAGGGGGAGGAGGGAAGGGCCCGCGCCTTCTAAGTAGCAGACTCCTTCTAAGAAGCATTCCCCCACCCCCTAACACCCCTGTGCATGTGGCTGACTTCGCCCACCAAAAATCGAATCTCCTGAATTGATGAGGGGCGGGGGTAGGGTTCGGACATCGCCACGTGTTCGACGAACTCGGAACCTTACCCGCGCCGCCCAGGGGTCGGATTTCGTCGTCGAGTCCAGCCAGGACCCCCTTTTCATCCCTATGCTTCGCGAGCTCTAAGCAGTTCCCGTCTGCAGTCACCGGTCGGAACAAGTGGGTAGGAACACGGAGTAGGAAGGTATTGGTCATAGACTAGACGTCCGCCCGCTCCCCGAAGGGGAGGGAGGATGGACAACCGCTCGACTCTGGAGTAACAAGGCCTCAAAGTAGTAAGACGATGGAAAAACACATGGCTGAATTCACATGTGGAACATCCGGAAGCCGCGCGCTGGATACACATGCGGAAACCTGGCCTACACGGCCATGCAATGGCCGCACGCTGAAAAAGACATCCGGACACATGTGTATCCAACGCTCGCCCAAGCTGGCCGTGTCAGTTGTACCCAACCTCCTTGCAGATTGGGATCTGGGAGAGATTATCCCGGCGTAAGACCCAACCATATTCAGTTGTGAGTACCGCGTTGTGGGTGCCGCTTTCGGTGGAGCTTCCTATGGGGCAACGAAACGCGTGAGAGGTGTCCTGTAACTGGTGGGGGGGACGATTGCGGCCGAGGCCACCGGGGCCTTCGGTGGAGGCCCCTGTGGGGCCACAAAGCGCATGCGGCCGCGGCCTCTGGGGCCTTCGGTGAAGCTCTCTTCGGGGCCACGAAGCGCGTACTGGGTGGGGGGGGGCGCATGCGGCCGCTGCCACTGGGGCCTTCGATGAAGCTCCCTCTGGCGCCACGGAACGCGGTACTGGGCATCGGGGACACATGCGAACGCGGCCACTGGCCTTCGGCGGAGCCCCCATACGGGTTCACGAATCGCTGTACTGGTTGGCGCGGACGCATGAGAAGGCGGCCACTGGGGCCTTCGGTGGAGCCCCATATGTAGCCACGAGGCGCTGTACTGGTTGACGTGGACACATACGAACGCGGCCACTGGGGCCTTCGGCGGCGTTCCTTATGGGGCCACGGGGCGCTGTACTTGTTGGCGTGGACACATGCGAACGCGGCCACTGGAGCCTTCGGTGGAGCTCCTTTGGGGGCCACGAAGCGCTGTACTGGGTGGCGCGGACGCATGTAAATCGGTCATTGCGGCCTTCGGTGGAGCTCCATTGGGGTCACGAAGCGCGTGAGGGGTGTGCTGAACTGGTTGACACGCGGAGGGCAGAGGCAGGGATGGGAGGAGGGTGGAAGGGGAGGAGGAAGGAGGGACTGAGGAACACGGGGCGCTCTCTTCAAAACTAGGAGCCAACACCACAGGATGGTGCGGGAAAACGCATACGTTCATCAACCACCGATGGGTACTTACGGTCGGGGATGTTTGCTTCGCGTGTCGCTGCGGCGGCCCCAGCGACACGCTAAACCTAGCGAGCGGATATCGTGTCGCTCCGCTCCGCGGGGCGGGAGGCCGGGAAAAGCTCGGCACGCTGACGCCTGGGAACTGGGGCGCGCATAGCGTGTCGCGCCGAATAATGGTGGGTCAGAACTGGCGGAGCGACACGCGATCCAACAGCTCCAAGCAGTACGTGCAGTGAGAGGAGAAGGAAAAGTGGCAATCAATGGAGCGTGCGAAGGCCGCCGAGCCGCAGGCGGCGCGCAACCGCGGCATCAGAAGCCCCGCGTCCAGCGCCCAGGAACGCCTCCCCCCCCGAGGGTAAGAGGGCAACATAAGCCCAAACCCAAAGAATCCGACGCTTGGAAACTATCCGGGCGAAGGACCCAACCAGATGTAGTTGTGAATACTGCGTTGTGGGACCGCTTTCGGTGGAGCTCCCTATGGGGCCACGAGGCGCGTGAGGGGTGTCCTGTAACCGGTGGGGGAGACACATGCGGCAGCGGCCACTGGGGCCTTCGGTGGGGTGGGGCAACAGAACTCTATACTGGGCGGGCGGGGGAGTGGGGGGCAGACGCATGCGGCCGCGGCCACTGGGGCCTTCGGTGTAGTTCCCTATGGGGCCACGAAGCGCTGTACTGGACAGGGGACACGCATGTGGCCGCGGCCACTGGGGCCTTCGGTGGAGCTCCCCATGTGGCCCCGAAGCGCTGTACTGGGTGTGGGGGACGCACGCGGCCGCGGCCACTGGGGCCTTCAGTGGAGTCCCTTAGGGGGCCATGGACCGCTGCACTGGGCTTGGGAGGCGCATGCGGCGGCGGCCAATGGGGCTTCGGTGGAGCTCCGTATGGGGCCACGAAGCGCTGCACTGGGTGGGGGGGACGCATGTGGCCGCTGCCTCTGGGGCCTTCGGTGGGGATCCTTATAAGGCCACGAAGCGCTGTATTAGCGCACACGCGTGCGAACGTTGCCGTTTCGGGCCTTCTGTGGAGCTCCGTGTGGGGCCTGAAAGCGCTGGATTGGGTGGCGCAGCTCCCTTTGGGGCCTTCGGTGGGCACGAAACGTTTTACTGGGTGGCGCGGACGAACGCGAACGCGGCCGCTGGTGACTTCGGTAGAGCTCCCTATCGGACCACCAAACGCTGTACTGGGTGGCGCGGGCGCATGCGGCCGCGGCATCTGTGGGTGTCGCTGGAGCTCCATATGGGGCCACGAACCGCTGTACTGCTGTTCTGGGCGGGGGGGACGCATGCAAACGCAGCCTCTGGGGCCTTCGGTGGAACTCCATACTGGGTCACGGAAAGCGTGAGGATTAACTCGACATTCTTGACATGCGGAAGGCAGAAACAGGGATGCGGAGGGGGAGGAGGAGTAGGAGGAAGAGAGGAGAAGGGAGGAGACGCGGGGCGCTGTCTCTTCAAAATGAAGACCCACCATCACAGGATTGTTGGGAATCATCGGAGCGAATGTCTTTGGGCTACAGTCGGTCCTGTTGAATCGTCCCCGCATGTCCCCGTAACACCTCAAACAAGACTGCCCCGAACCCGCTAAGTCGTTCCAACTTTCCCCGGTGGTCCTTTCCTGTGCCAGCACACGGAAAGAGAAATTCCACAAAATGAGACGTGCCCCAACATCATCAAAATAGGCGCCAACGCCTGGTAATCCAGGACGACCGACTTCGGCCTCTGGGGGCCGTCAATGGGCCGCGGGACAATCGAAAACCGATTCATGGCGAAAAACCGGCCCCAGGGAAGCTGTCCAAACCTCGCGGACTCCACGCATCGAGACAATTGGAACGCCGGGATGTCTAGGATGAAAGCCTGTACGGATCCTCCAACGTCCTTGCCCTTCCAAAGGCGCAATAAGTGCGTTTTGGTTATGTTGTGTCATTTGGGGTCCTTGCCGCCGGGACTGGATATTGCAGCATTGCGTTGGAAGATTCTGGCTCTGCACGTTATTGGCCCTTCTGGGCCCCTCATAATCGCCACAGCTGGATTCGCCTCGGGAACGTATCCCTGACCCCCGAAGATCCCTGAATCCAGACGTTCAACGTGTTGAACACATCAAGACGGAGTTCCAGTGCTTGCAATGTTCTGCTCTGGGGCAGCCATTCTTAGGTTCTGGGGCCATCACCGAAAACGATATGCGACGAAAAGCCGATCCATGGCATGGGGTCGGCAACGTGTGTAAACGACTTCGATTGGAGTGAACACGCGTAAGGACACAAGACTCTTCCGAGGGCCACATCGCGCCGAGAATCTGGAGGACATTGGACGCGAGGCACAGGCCGCAAGGGCAGTCTTGATTTGGGAGTGTCGACGTACGAACTAAACCATAAAGATACCATAAAAAAACAACCATGCTGCGATGTGTCAATTTCGTTGCGGGAGCGCGTCTACTACATCCACATGCGGTTTGAAAAACATAAGAACGTCCTGCTGGATGTGAGAGAATGGGCTGTTCCCTCTTGACGAGGAGGTCTGGAGACCACGGAATCAAAAATCGTCCATTTCTTCTTCGCTCCGTTCAATTGTTTGGCGTTCGTCTGTTGCGTTTTTGTAATGCTTGCCCCCCCGCCCCCCCCGCGAAACAGTCGCACTCCTGTGACGAGCGATGGTGAAACTGAAATGCGCCAAGCAAGCCCAGAGCCACGCAAGGACTAACCTGCAACAGGCGAGGCCGCGCGCGAAACCTTAGCTAGTGAAGCAAAACAGAGCGAAATTATCAGAATGAGGGGGCCGAACGGTCATTCACTGTCCCTGGGTGCGTGGCTGACAGCAACGCCGACGCGGCCGCGGCGCAGCACGCCGTGCCGGGCGAGCTGGTGCGCGCCCGCCTCAGGGAGCTGGAACTGTTGGTGGCAGCGCAGCGGGTGCAAGCGGCTGCCTGGCAATCGGCTTTGGCCGCCGCGCCAGTGCGCCAGTGCCGCGGCCGGCGAATCTGGCGGGCGGTCCGCCGTGGGGCTCGCGCTTGTGCGGCGTCCGCCCCAGCGGGCCCCGCCCCAGCGGGCCCCGCCCCGCCTAGCCGTGCCCGCGCGGCTCCGCCTGCAGCCCGGCCGCGCCAGTCAGCGTTGGCGCCATGCTGGCGGCCTTCTTCGCGGATCGTTCGTGGTGGCCGCATTCCCTCGCACATGGGCCCAGGACCGTTCGTTGTCTTCGCTGCGGTGGCACGGCTGGGACCGCGGCGGCCATGCTGGGATGCGCGTGTCCAGGGTGGCAGTACCAGCTGTCAGCGCGGGGGCAGGCGCTGCTGCTCCTCGGCGACCTGCGCTGCGTTGGGGGCGACGCAGCAGAATTCGCTGCCTTACCCGCGCGCCGCATCGCGCAGCTGCCAGAGGTGCCCGACTAAGTCGGGAGCCCCTCTGGGCATCTGCGGTCGCGAATGTCGTTCGAACGTGCATGCCAAAGCGTGGCTGGAGTGGGATTCCGCGATGCAATTTATTGTTGTTGTTGCCGTTGATGTTGTTGTCGCTGTTACTGTTGTTGTTGTCGTTGTTGATGTGGTTGTTGATCTCGTTGTTGTTGGCGTTGCTGAAGTTGTGGCTGCTGCTGGTAATGTTGATGTTGTTGTTGTGGTTGGTTGGTTGGTTGGTTGGTTGGTTGGGTTTTTGGTTGGTTGGTTGGTTGGTTGGTTGGTTGGGTTTTTGGTTGGTTGGTTGGTTGGTTGGTTGGTTGGTTGGTTGGTGTTTGTTTGCTCGTTTGCTTGTTAGTTAGTTTGTTTGTTTGTTGTTTGGCGTCATTCCCCCCGCGTACGGCCACGCGTCCCACCCGCGACCCACCCCGCGACCCGCCTGCGACCCACCCGCGACACGCCCGCGACACACCCGCGATCCACCCCGCGATCCACCCCGCGACCCACCCGCGACCCACTCGCGACCCGCCCGCGACCCGCCCGCGACGCGCCCGCGACCCACCCGCGACCCACCCGCGACACACCCGCGACATGACCCGCGACCCATCCGCGACCCACAACCCGCGATCCAACCCGCGACCCAACCCGCGACCCACCCACATTCCTGGAACCAGAAATATCGTCGGCTGCGGCGGGCTCGTTGTATAGTTTAACAAAAGTCTGCACTTGCGGCAAGCTTCTTCAGAGCCTCGCAGACTGCCGACATCCCCGCCGCCCCCTCAACCTTATCCGCATCTGCAGGGTGCTACGTAATGAGGACGAAGCCGGGGAGGAATGTAGGCGGACGGGGGGAGGAGGAATTTGGCCGTGGCGTTTCTCGCACATTCTGAGACCCCCGTCGCCGCGCACGGCTAGACCCACCTCGCATGTGGAATCTGTATGTGTATACACATACTATACACACCCACACACACACACACACTTTTGGGCGTCGCGGCCCTGCGCACGGCGACAGAGTAGTAGAAGGTTGGAAGAATGTGATGCGCGCGTATACACCCGCCCGAACACTCAGAGACCACTCAGGGCATGGCAACCGCCAGCAGCCATAACCATCTGGGCGTGGATGGCGGGGAGGGGACGGTGAACACACACACACACACACTCACACACAAGCTCACACGCACACTTCCAAGGACCTCCGAGAGGAGAGCAGCCTCTCGACCCTACATCCTCGATTTCGCGACGAAGACGCCCGACGGCCTCTGGAGGTCTCCGAAGACGACAGACGCCCCTCAAGCGGCGACGAAGACGGAAATACTCCGAGCGCCAAAAAACCTGAACCCCCGATCCCTCGACACTCGATCTTCGACCGAGCGACGGCGACGACGACGACGACGACGACGACGACGACGACGACGACGCTGGCGAGGACCCCCGGGAGCCTCCGAGAGCCCCCGAGAACCTCCAAGAGCACCCCCAGAACAGCTGAGACCCTTCGAGAGCCCCTGAGAGCCTCCAGGAGCCTCCGAGAACCCGCGAGGGCCCCCGATGACCCCCGAGAGCCCCCGAGGACCCCCGAAGACCTCCGAGGATCGCCGCCGACGGCGGCGGCGGCGGCGGCGACCGCCACGCACGCCTGGCGGCAGCGTTCGGCCTCGCGCGCCTCCTCCGCTGGAGACGCCCGGTGCGCGGCGAGGTCCCGCAGGCGCCGTGAGTCCACCTGGGGAGGCGAGGCCCCTCCTCGCGGTAGGCCCCATCGCTTTGTCGCTCGTCGCCCTTCTCGCTTCTCCTCCTCCTCCTCCTCCTCCTCCTCCTCCTCCTCCTCCTCCTCTTCCTCCTCCTCCTCCTCCTGATGTTCCTCGTCGCTGTCCTCCTCAACCTGCCCCGATTGGGGGCCTGGCACCTGCTCTCTTGGTGTCAGTGCCACACTTGCTCTGGGGCGCACTGGCAAGTACCAAGAACGGTGGTGCGGAAGCGGGAAGGCGGCCGTCTGTTGTGATGCAGGGATGAGTTTGGTTCCCCTGCATCATGGTCAGCGTGGTCTGAACCTTGACCCAATGCCTTGGCGTCAGCTCCAGCAGCGATCGGGCATTTCTGGGAAGGGTGGTGCCGTCTGGCACGTGAGCCCCATGGGACTTCACGCCCACTCCCAGGCGGGGATCCTCGGGCTCGAGATCATCTATCTCAACCGGTGCCAGCGCGGACCCCGTATGCAGGTGCCGGTCGTCTGTTACCTCAAGCTGGCCCTGCTGCTCTGTGAGCGTACGGTTTACATCCGCAAGCAGGCGAACCGTGCCAGCGCAGCCCCCACAATGTCGGGCGAACCATGGCTGCAGGGAACCGTCGGCGGGGCAGCGAATCACTAGTCGACTAGCCGCCTTCCTACCCAGTGTCACCTCCTCGTTTTGGTGGGATCACGCATGTCCGCACGAGACGTAGGCAGTGGTCCCAAACAGTGGTCCTCCTTCTCCTCCTCCGACTCCTCCTTCTCCTCCTCCATCTCCCCCTCCTCCTCCTCCTCCTCCTCCTCCTCCTCCTCCTCCTCCTCCTTCTCCTCCTCATCCTCCTCCTCCTCCTCCTCCTCCTCCTCCCCCTCCTCCTCCTCTCTCCTTCCTCCTCCTCCTCCTCCTCCACCTCCTCCTCCTCCTCCTCCTCCTCCTCCTCCTACTCCTCCTCCTCTCCTCCTCCCTCCTCTCCTCCTGCTCCTCCTGCTCCTCCTCCTACGGTCCTGCCGCCTGACTACCCCCCTTCATCCCTCCCTCGATCCCTCTTTCACTCCCTCCCTCTCTCCGCCTCCCTCCTCCTCCTCCTCCTCCTCCTCCTCCTTCTTTCCTCCTCCGATCCCTTGTCCCCATCCTCCCTCCCCCATCCATATATCCCACCCCCCCTCTCTCTCTCTTTCTTCCTCCACCTCCACATCCGCCTCTCCTGTTTCTCTTCCTATCCCTCCACTTCCTTCCCCGCTCCCACCCTCTTGCTTCGGAGGGAGTTCGCGTCGCACCCGAGAAGCGTCTGGTGCCAGCGACCGCTGGTCGGAGCGTTCCATGGAGCGCCAGACGAACGACGGGGCGGGCGAGGTTAAGCTCGCAGTCATCCACGCGAGCAAAGGAGGCGGGAAACACCTCTTCCACGGTGTGCGTCGTGCAAACTTGGCGCGCTCCAGTTTAGCCTCCGAGGGGCGCTTGGGGGCGCTTGAATCGTCTGCGTTCACCTGCAAACACAAAGCGAGACAGACAGCCCCAACGCTTCCACAGCAAAGCTGGCCGTCGGGCCCGCCGTTGCCAAGCGGGCGGGCCCTTGGGAGTCCTCTTATTGGGGCATTCCTCAGGGATCATCAAAGCACTTTTCGGGGTTACCTGATGATTTTCGCAGCCCTACGAAGCTAGCAGCGGATGCCGCGGCGACCTCATACTTTTCCCGACGATATTGAGGACATCCTCGGCAACCCAGAAGATTTCGTGACGGTGCCTGACGGTACCACACAAAGCCCAAAGGGTTTCGTGTGGAATGTCGAGGGACTCTTGGGGCTTCTCAGGGAGGTCCTCGGGATTCTCATGCTATTCTCAGGAGTCACTAACCAGGGAGCCCCCGTGTCTGAAGACTCTCCACTGGCCTTCGAAGACCATTCAGAATCCAGGGGACATCCGACTGCTGTGGGACCCCTGGCAAAATTTCCTGCGCCATGCGATTGGTTTCTGGAATCATATACGGATTCTTACAGCGCCCTACTTCACGTCCTGAGGACCCGTGCGGAATGTCGAAAGGGTACCTCAGAATTGCCAGCGGACTCCCGAAGATTTCCCTGGAGACCCGCCGCACGGAATTCATCATGCCCTGACCGTTGCGGCGGAACCCGCCCTCCAGAGCCTCTGAGCGCAGCCCATTGTGGACCGAGACCAAACAGATGCCACCTATTCCTCCCCGCGCAAACGTCTCGCCCGCGCGCGCGGTGCCGCGGTGCCCGGTCGCGCAACGAGGCGATGTGCAAATCTATAGCCGCGGAGCGAGACCCTCCCGCCAATCGCGTGACGAGACACCCGCGGATGCGACGCATGGCGCCACCCCCCTCTGAAGAGGGCCGCGTGTGGGAGGTCAACGTTGGGGTAGAGGCGAGAAAAGAAACCACCCCTTGGGCGCACGCAGTGCAAATGCTGGGGCGGGGCTGGCATCTGACCATCGCGGGCGCGCGGCCGAACACCCCTCCCCCCGCAACCATGATGAGGCTGTGTGATGTGTGCGCGCGTTCTCTTCTGAATCCCCCCTTCGGTTCCTCCCCCTCTTCTTCCTCCTCCTCCTCCTCTCTCCTTCCCTCTCCCTCCTTGCGCGGAGTGCCGGTGGCTACCGTGAGTTTGGGTCCCTTCCCTGTGCCGACTGTGCACCGCCACGCACGGCGGGTCTGAATCTGGCCCTGCTTCGCGCACGGCTGCAACGTCTTCTCGGGTCGGGCGAACGAAAGGGGGGGATAGCAAAGGGGGTTTTGCGAATCAGCTCACGTAGCTGATTTCCCCGGCGCCTCCCAGCGCCGGAGGCGACTATGTATCGAGGAATGGGCCCCTCGGTGGGGCCGAAACCAGCTGCATGCAGCAGATTTCGTAACCCCCCCTTTCACAATCCACCCCTTTCGTCCGGCCCGATCTTCGCGGCAGCCTGCACTGCTGCGGGGCTGCCGTGCCGCAGTTTTTTGCGCCGCGCCGCGGGCACCTCGGCCACCCGGCGGTGGCAGAGGCAGAGGGCAGAAGCTCCGCCCCCGGATAAAAGAACCCCGACAAGCGAAGCCGTTGACTACACGCGCACAGGGAAGGCATCGAGCAAGGCCGGGCTGTTTGGTTAACGCCCAGGGCCATTTAGCCAACGCCGATTTAGGGTGCCACATGTGAACCCTACCCCTACCCCCCACGATTTCTGAGGGGGAGGGTGGGGTTCACTTCGCTCGGGAGCTCCCGAACGAAGTGAACCCCACCCTCCCCCTCAGAAATCGTGGGGGGTAGGGGTAGGGTTCACATGTGGCCCCCTACGATTGTCAAGGTCTGGGTGGTTCTTCTTCCACGGAAGAGGAGACTGCAGATCGCCTCGGCCCTGCCTTCCTCCACAAACTGCAGCTGGCCGCGCGCCAGATGGCGGGAATGGCGCGGCGCCGGCCTTGCAGTGCCGCCCGACACTCACTAGTGCCGCAGGGGATACTGGGCAAAGACAGCGGCCTTCTGGGCACCGCTGCCGGTCTGTCGGCTTCTCGTGCTGCAGCCACCGCGTCGTCGCGACTACCAACCGCAGCCTAGCCCGCCTCGTCTCCCGGCGTTGTGTGCCGGCTTTTGCAAATCAAAGACCAGTCGCGAGCAGCTGGTTCACTGCGCCTCTATAGAAAGGGAAAGACATCCTCTCTGCGGGTGGCGGTGGTTTGGCCGTAACCGCTGCACGCAAGGGCCAGGCTGGTGGTGACCCGTGCTCCGAACGAAACAGCTCTGGCAGTACCACGCCCACGGGTCCCATCTGGGGACAAGAATCTGCCTCTCCGATTGGTAGCCACACTTTTGGTGAATGCGCTACCGAACGTCTTCGTCGTCCGTCCCTGCTTCACGACTTTACGCCAGCCACAAGAACACCAACAGCGTGGTGTGCTTTTCAGCAGTCGCTCCCCACACCTATGTAATTCCCCATCCACCCTCCCGTATTCTCTTCATCCTCCTCCTCCCTCCTCCTCCCCGTTCTCTGCATCCGCCTCCTCCCACTCTTCATCCGATTGTGATGGCAGCCAGGACAGGGGGGCTCCTCCTATTGCTCAGTTTTGCGCACGACGCTGGTGGAGGAGGAAAGTGATGACGTGACACAGGGAGAGGGAGATGGAGGAGAAGGAGGGGGAGGAGAAGGAGGGGAAGGCGGAAGGGCAGGGAGGGAGAGGGGGAGAAGGGAGAGGCTGGGGAGAGGACGAAGAGGCGCTCCTGCTGCTTCTGCGAAATGTTGTCCATGAGATCCGGGAGCTGCGGGTGACTTTGTTGTAATAACTTCTGGGTGTCTTTGTTCGGAACTGGCACTGGTACCAATGGCTGGAGCCCCAACTCGTAAAAGGCACATCATGGTTTTGAAAGAAGCGGTCACCAGTGAGGCACGATTGGGACGAGGGTATCTGGATAGGGAAAATGATGATAATGACACGGAGGAGGGTGACTGCAGGGACTGGAGGGAGGACAACAACCGCGAACAAAATAATGTCATGGGACGGAGGAAGTCGCCGACAACGATGACGAGCTGGACAAGACGAATGAGAAGCTGGGGACTTAGGGGGATGAGGAGGAAGAAAAACCCCCGCAAGAGCAGGATGAAGACGAACCCCAGCAACATCAGAAGGAGGAGGAGGACAAGTATAAGTATAATGAGGAGGACGACGACGAGGATCGAACTGGACCAAACTGGGCATTGCGTCCACGAAGTAGGATAATAATGAAACATTGGTAAGGCTAGTAATAACACATTGATCCTCGATCCTTGAGGACCAACGGGGAAGAGGGCGGTGAGGGGGGAAACAAGGATGGAGGGCCGTGGCCCGCATGCCCCACTAAGGCGAAAAGACCGAACAAACATACCTGTGTAACTCACACCAATACCATAACTGCTCGACAGCAGCCGGCTTGGGTTGATGTGTGCCATACCTTGGCACGGCATGGTTGGTTGGGTTGTTTACCCCTGCCCTTAGTGGGACACGCGGGCCTCTTCGAGATGGAGATACAGTGTGAGAGAGAGGGAGAGGGAGAGAGAGAGAGAGAGAGAGAAAAAACAAAACAACAAACAAACAGAACAAACAGAGAAATAAAACACAGAGAGAGAGAGAGAGAGAGATCGGACCGATTGGGCGCGGCAGCGTCCAGGCGCCCCGCGGACTAGCGGCGGGCGCACCCCGCACCTTGGCCGATGCGAATCGGCTAGAAAGGGCACTTCGCTCCCGTCTTGGGCGGCCGGGGGAGGAAAGGGAGGGAGGGGCGAAGGGGGGCCCTCCCCCAGAGCAAAAGGCGGGGCTGTGACTCTGCATCGCAGTGATCCGAACCCACCACGTGGGTTAAGCGAGGCCTGCACCCGTCTTTGGCCTGGCGGAACCTCGCTGGAGGTGCCGGCATCATTCCAGTGCCCCTTTAGGACCCGCGGAGGGGAAGGCCACAGTGGACGCTTGCCAAGCGGCGCACGGGCCTTGAAAGGGGGGGTTGTTAGCTGGGGCTTCGCACGAGAAGCGTTTGGGCCGCGTAGAGGGCGTCTGCGACGGAGGCAGAGACGCTCACCGCCGAAGGGGCGAGCGAGGCCTGACGCTGGACGGCGGCGTGGAGTTCACGCAGCGCGTTGAGGTACTGTCGCGTCGTGCAGCGGACGTGGTCGGAAGGGCCTGGACGTGCTCGAGCTGGCGCTCGAGCTGCGTCAGGCGGTCCGCCGCAGGCTGACCCTGGGCCTGCGTGGCCTGTCTCTGAGACTGGAGGGGGGCCAGCGCGGCCGTCTGGGCGGCGTGCCAGGCCCTGCGCACGACGGGCGTGAATCCCCGGCGCCCGGCCTGAGCCCGAGCGGGGGGGAAGACCCTGCAAGTGCGGGGCGCGCCTGAGGCGGCCGGGGCCCTCGTAGCGAAGGAGGACCACGGGGCGAGGCAGGCCAGGGGCCGCCACGAGGGGCAGGCTGGAGGTGCCGCGCTACTGATAGGAGGAGGGCCACTGCCGCCATTTTCGGCCAGTCGTTGGTGGCCGGCAGCCAGGCGCCCGCGTCAAGACTCCACAGGTAATGCCCCTGAAGGGAAGGTGACGTGCGGCAGTAAGGGGCCGTATAGCGTTACCATTTCGCTCCTGCTGCCTGCTCGGGGGTCGCCGGATGCTGCGCTTTGGCCCGAGTCCTGGGGCACCGCGCTGCGAGCTGGTCCAGCAGGCCGGACTGGTTGGTGAGCTGCAGGGGCAGAAGTGGCCCCGTCTACCGAGGCTGGAGCCCGGGGGGGCGCGTGACTGGTTTGGCGCGTCAGCGACCGGCGGCTGGTGGCCGTAGCGAGCTGGGCCAGGGGCGCGTGGCCCTGGGGTCGACAGGGGGAGGGTCTCTCCGTTACCTGTAGAAGAGCTGCTGGCGTTGCTGATGAGGGCATCGCTGTGGTGCAACCCTCCCCCGCACCGGCTGAGCCGGGCACGCTGCGTCTTCGACGGTGGGGAGAAGGGCTGCGCTGCGCCGTCCCAAGGTCGTCGCCTGAGGGGGCGGCCGTCGCGGTTCCAGGTTGTGGGTCGGGAGGGTCACAAAAACTGGAGTGGTCAGAGTCATTTGGCCCGTCGTCGCTGGCAAAGGGGTCGGCATGCCTGAACCAGCGGTGCCCATCGAGAAAGAACATGGCCGTGCGGCCACCCCTCTGTCGCGGAGCGGGGCCTCGCGAGGGTGCCTCTTCCGGGGACGGTGCCTCATGTTCTGGTTGGAGAGGCGGGGCCGCGGGCTGCTGGAGGACCCCAGTAGGCTGAAATCGTCCTTGGTAGCCTGGTGGGGGGTCGAGGCGGTCCAAGCGAGCATCCACAACGTCGCGGCGTGCGTCGCTCATCTGCTGACTCGCGCGGTTTAGCGCATGGCCCGATGGCGCCGCGATGTGTCGGTGACGGTCGCGGCGTCCTTGGTCGCTTGTTCCCAGGCTTCTTCGCGGATGTTTGTGCGTGGCGCCTCTGGAGGTCGAGCGCTTCCCAGGGCGGCAGGTTCATGTGGAGTCCTGCGAAGGCCGCCGTTTGGAGTGCGCGGAGGACCTCCTCGACGCAGTATATGAGCCACATGTGCTTGCATCTGTCAGGGTCACAGAGGTGCGTCTTGGGTCAGCGGGTCAGTTGCGGCTTGTCGCGCGCAATGGCTTAGTGGTGCGAGCTCCCTGCCGTGGCTGCTGTCCCAGTGAATTTCCCTTGGATCCAGGGTTGGGAGCGATTCGTCCCCTGCGCTGTCGGGAACACTGTGCGCGGTCGGCGTTGGGGGGATGCCCTGGCGGGCCCTTGGTGAGCTTTGCTGGGCCCTGGTGGGCCGTGGTGGGCCCGTGATCAGCTCTGCATCGTAACGGGGAGTCCTTGGTAGGAAGTCCTCAGTAGGGATGAGGAGGAGGAGGGGAGGGAGGAGGGGGAGGAGGGGAGTGCGGGAGCGGGGGAGGGAAAGGCAATGGGAGAGAGGATGAGGATTTTCACTCCCTTCCCCCCTTCCGAACAAAAAACGGGGCCGCCGATCGCCGTCCAAGTTTTTTTCGTGGGGAGGGAACTGAGGGGAAACGAAAGGATCTCTGCTGGGAGGGGAAGGAGGAAGAGGAGGAGGAGGAGGAGGAGGAGGAGGAGGAGGAGGAGGAGGAGGAGGAGGGGAGTGCGGGAGCGGGAGGGGAGGAGCAGGGGGAGAGAGGATGAGGAGTTTCTCCCCCTTTCCCCCGAAAACAAAATTAAAAAACGGTGGCCGCCGATCGCCGGCCAATTTTTACATATTTTTTTTCTGAGGGGGGAGGGGGCGGAACTGATGGGAAACAAAACAAGTCTTCTGGGAGGAGGAGGAGGAGGAGGAGGAGGAGGAGGAAAAGAGTAGAGCACGCCACAGAGCGCGCAAAGCATTCAAAGACCACCGCGCGAACTCAGTGTGAAAGTCTCTCGCGCGCGCTCTCGACCCCGAGGTACTCCACAATCCCCCGTTCTCTCCTCCTCCTCCTCCTCCTCCTCCTCCTCCTCCATCTCCTGCACCTCCTCCTCCTCCATCTCCTGCACCTCCTCCTCCTCCTCCTCCTCCTCCTCCTCCTCCTCCTCCTCCTCCTTATTTGAGCGGCGAATGCGTCTGTCCGCGCGCCCAAGCACTTTGATCGGGAGCGGGCGCAACCCCTCAACCCCAAGACCAGCGTAACGCTCAGCGGTGACTGATCCTGGAGCCGAGGGGGTGCGCCCCCCTCCTCCTCCACCTCCTCCTCCTCCGAGGCCCGAGGAGGGGGCCGCCTTGCCCGAGCCAGGCAGGCGAGGGAAGGCCGTCGCCAGTAGCAGCGAGAAGCCCGGGGGCAAGGCGCGGCGCAGCGCCGGCACCGGGTCGCCTGTCGGTGTAAGGCGCCTTCGCCCTCCACCTGCTCTTCCTTGTCCTTCTCCTCGTGCTCCTCCTCTCCCCTTCGCCTTCTCCCCATCCTGCCGTTCCTCCTCCTCCTCCTGCTCCTCCTCCTCCTCCTTCCCCTTCTCCTCCCCCATCCGCCCCTTCTTGTCCTCCTCCCCTCCTTCCCCCTACATGTTCCCCCCTCCTGCTCCTCCTCCAACTCCTCCTCCACCTCCTCCTCCTCCTCCACCTCCTCCTCCTCGACAACTACGCATTCTCAATACAACTCTCCTCTCTCCCCTGACTCTGTCCGGAAGAGGCCCCGACCTCTCCGCGTATTGTTTCTTCCCGCACATCGGATTGGACAAACGTGGGTGTTATTACTGCTTGTGCACATGTTTGCAATCCGATTGTTTTCTGTGTTTCAACATGATGGCCCCGCAGCAGCGTGGGCCTCGTTTTCGGGTCGGCGCTGTAGACCCGTGGTTCAGAATGGCGCTCTCGCCCGAGCGCGAGACGCTTTTCTGGATCCGAGTCCTCCCTCTTCGTTGTCGACCCCCTCCTTTCCCCTCATCGGCCATCCCCTGGTCATCCTGCTCCTCCCGCTCTTTCCACTCCGCTGGTCGTTCTCGATCTCCTCCTCCTCCTTCCTCCTCCTCCTCCTTTTCCACCTGCTCGGCTACCCCTTCCCGATGATGCAAACACGATGAGGTCCTTCGTGGAGTTCCAGGTCTGCTACGAAACTCATCCCAAGACAGCGAAAACATCAGCACAATCCGAAGGGATCGGTGGGATGGGTAGAATGTCAGACATGGCGGGAGCGCGCCTAAGATGTTTTCCTCCCCCATCTCCCCCGTACCTTTTGCCCTCCTCCACCTCCTGTTCCTGCTCTTCCCACTCCGCCTCATTATTCTCCTCTTCCTCCTCGTTGGTTCTCTTCCTCGCGAGACCTCCGACGTCGTGCTGCCCTCAAGCCTTAACTTATTCTTGAATCTCGCCTTTCGCTGGGCCGTTCCGGGCTCCGAGAAAGACAGTCCCCCAACAGATCCTGCCTGGATGAAAACTGGTTCCGGAAATGGGTCGTCGGCCGAATGGGCCATGCATGGAAAATGAAAGGGTCCGCCAGAGGTCTTGGTCCTCGTCCATGTTGCCATCGATCTCTTTGAAAGAGAGACAAGGCCTCCCACGAGATCCCAACGAACATCCAATAGGAATCCTACTCACGACCCAGGCACGGTGGCGGGATGGGCCGGAGGCCATTCGATCCGCCGCCCCCTGTCGATTCATCGCAGGGGTGCCTGGCGTGCTAGATTATTTCGGTTGTGGTTTTAGTTCTTTTCCCAAAAGAACTCCCCCTGGGGCTTCGGCCCGTCCCGCCGGCCACCCGAAAGACCCGGTTGCAAACGGTTCCTGCCCCAGACGGCCCCAAGATGGCTTCCAAGACGGCTAAGATGGTCCCAATATGCCTCCAAGACGGCCCAAGATGCACCCAAGACGGCCTAAGATAGCCTCAAGATGGCCTACGACGGCCCAAGAGGCCCCCAAGAGGCCTCCCAGACGCTCCCCCCCTTGCGCGAATTTTTTCTGATGCAAGCGCCTTAGCCTCCTCGATGGGATCTGGCAATTGATTCCCAGTGGAGGCCGGCCCGGAAGCCGGTGCGATGCGATGCGGTGCTCCCCCCCCTTTCCCCAGAGGGGGCGTCAGAAAATCGGCGTACCCCCCGTGGGGAGCGACGGGGAAGCTCGCCCCATTTGAAGGGGCTCAAAAAGCTGGCATTCCCTTGTTCTTGTTGTTGAATATTATTACTTCTAAAGAATAATTATTGTTGGGCCCCCTGGTGCACGCCCCCCCCGCCGCGCCTAGGCCGCAGCCACGTTTTCATCATTTTCGTGAGGAAGCCTCAGGCAAAACGATGTGCACCAGATCCGGTTGTTTTGTTGTCCCCCGCTTTCCCTTGCAACAAAAAAAAGCTGAAGTGGACATTTCTTGTTTTAACATAACCAAACTTCAAGAATCCCTTACAAAAAAGTAGGTAAAGTGGACATTCGCGCGCGCAAGACGAAATCCTTCCAAAACCTTAGTTTTCGTAGCGATTTTAACATAAAAACATCAAAAAACATGTTTTTTTTTTCATCCCTGTCAAATAATACCATGCGGGACACATTCGTTTTTTCTTCGCGCGCGCACGCCGTCGTCGTCGGCCGCGGGGCCTTGAATAGTAGCCACGGTCGTCCGCATGCCACGAAGTGAAGTGTCCGAACGTCATAGGGCGGGAAGCGAAGAGTCGTTTGGAAATTTGGTAGAGCTTGAACCGGCCCCCCCACAAAGTGGGGGTATTGCCCGCCTCCTATGAAAACCCTGGCACTGGTGAGAACGGAGTGTCCCCACGTGCTAGTAATTGTTGTTGTTGTTGTTGTTGGTGTTGTTGCTGTTGTTGTTGAATTCTCACTTCTGAAAACATATGGTTGATCCCCCCGTCCGGTGCACATTGTTTTTTTTCGATTGAAGTGCCCTTACCGAGGCTCGCACTTTTCTTTCACAGGGAAAGTCTTGAATATCAAACTGTGTTGTTGGCCCCCGGTTTACAACAACAACGGCTCCCGCCTGATACTTCCTCACAATGTACTGAAAAATCGCGTTCTCGCTTGGGACTTCCTCACAATTTACCACCGGATTGCGGCTCCCGCTTGATACTTCCTCACAACGTATTGAAGAATCGCGCTCTCGCTTAGGACTTCCTCCCAACTTAGCACCGAATCGCGGCTCCCGCCTGGTACTTCCTCACAATGTATTCAGATGCCGCCCCTCGACACTTAGGGGAATCGCGCTCCCGCTACATATTGATTGGCGGTTCAAGCAGAATTTTCGCTTCAACGACCCGCCCGCTCGACCCGCCCGTCTGGGCCTGCCCGCCCGACCCGCCCGTTAGGGACCGCAGTCGCCGCTCGCTGCCCTTCGCCCGCCTTCGATGCCCATCGCTGCCCGTGCTGGTTCCGCGGTCGCCTACGCTCGCTGCCCTTCGTGGCCCCGTTGCTGCCCTCGGTGGCCCCGTCGCTGCCTTTTGTGGCCCCGCATTATACGCCCTTCGTGGCCCCCGCTCGCACGCGCCCGTCGTGGCCCCATACGCATGCCCTTCGTAACCCCGCTGTCGCCTTTCGTGGCCATCTCGCTGCCCTTCATGGCCCCTTTGCTGCCCTCACTGGCCCCGCTGTCGCCCTTTGTGGCCCCGTATACGAATGCCCTTCGTGGCCCCCGTTCGCTGGCGCCCGTCGTGGCCCCATATGGATGCCCTTCGTGGCCCCGCTGTCGCCCTTTGTGGCCCCCTCGCTGCCCTTCGTGGCCCCGGTGCTGCCCTCAGCGGCCCCGTCGCTGCCCTCTGTGGCCTCGGATTTTGCGTCCTTCGTGGCCCACGCTGGCTTTTCTCACGATTTACTTGGGAATCGCGTTATCGCTCGAGACTTCCTCGCGATTCACGCAGGACCCATGCTTCAGCAACCCGCCTGTTCGACCTCGTCGCCTGGGCCTGCGTTCCCGACCTGCCCGCTATGGGTCTGCCCACCCGATCTGCCCGTCTAGTCATACCACTTGTGTTCTGCTCCTTGCCCCCCTCCTGCTAATTTCTCTCGTGCTCCATTCTCCTTCCTCCCCTTACACCCGTCCTCTCTTCCCTTGTTTGAGGGACTGCAGTAAATACACGTGGCAGGTAAGGAAGATATCCCCCCAAGGGGGTGCGATCGAAGACGACGAAGGCAGATACCGAGGGTTTGAGATATACGTATTGGTTGGCACGTGCTCAGATAGGAGAGGAGCGAACAGTCTTCAAATGATTGTTGTTGTTGTTGTTGTTGTTGTTGTTGTTGTTGTTGTTGTTGATCTGTCATTTCTGAAAAGTTATCACTATTGATCCCCAATCACTGGTGCATGCTGTTTTTTCTGAATCAAACTGTGCCCATCGACGCTCGCACCCTGTTTGTTGACAGGGAAAGTCTTGGTGCTCAAACTGTGCCCCTGGCCCCCCGAACCACAACAACAACGGCTCCCGCCTGAGGCTTCCTCCAAATTTACTCACGACCCTCCCCTCCCGTCTAAGACTCCCTCGTGATTTACTCAGGAACGGCGCTCCCGCTTTAGACTTTCTCTCAATTTAGTCGGACCCCCGCTCCCATCTGAGACTTCCTTACAATGTACTCAGGAACGGCGCTCCCGCTTGAGACTTCCTCGCAATTGAACCAAAACTTCCTCGCAATTTAATCAAGACCCCCGCTACCGCAACATAAAACAATGTTGTGTAGAAAGTGCGCCCTCGCCTGTGGCTCCATGCAATTTATGCAAAAGTCACGTTTTCGACGCTCAGGAAACACGCTGCGCCAAGGACGCCCTCACAATTTACTTAGGAATCGCGCTCTCGCCATACTCAAGCATCCCGCTTGAATGTCCCACCCGCCCGGCCCGCCCGTCAGGGGATCGCCCGCCCGTCGTGGGCTCCCACCCGAGACGTCCTTCAGGAACGGCGCTTTCGCCTAGGACCTCTTCGGACGTTAACACTCTTACCTTCCTGCTCCTCCTCCCTCTCCCTCCTCCCTCCTCTCCTCTCCTCCCTTTTCTCTCCGTCCTCTCTTCTCTCATCCTTATGCCTCTCTCCCCTCTCCCCTCTCCCTCCTCTCCCTCCTTCCTTCTCCCTCCCCTCTCCTGCCTCCTCCCTCCCTCTTTCCTTTTTTTTCTCTCGCTCTCTCTCTCTCTCTCTCTCTCTCTCTCTCTCTCTCTCTCTCTCTCCCCTCTCTCTCTCTCTTTCTCGCTCTCTCTCTCTCTCTCTCTCTCTCTCTCTCTCTCTTTTTTCCCGACCTCTCCTGTATGTTATTGTTTATCTCTCTCTCTGTCTCTGTCTCTCTCTCTCTCTCTCTCTTTCTCTCTCTTTCTCTCTCTTTCTCTCTCTCTCTCTCTGCCTCTAGTCAACCGCTCCCCTCTTCGTTCATTCTCTCCTGGCGTTGTCCTTCTTCCTTCGTCCC